AGGGATGTGCTGGCCGCGGCTTCCTGCCGCCCCCATTGGCCCGGGACGGCGAACCGCAGCCAGTGGGGGCCGCGATCGGCCGACCTGCCGCATCAGCAGGTAAATAAACTGGCCCGGCCCGCCAGGGTGCTTACCCTAGCGAGCCGCGTGCTGAACGTTGCCGACCCCTGCTCTAGAGTGAGACCAGGGTTGAATTTGGCCCAAACAAAATGAAATGGATTAAATGCATGTTAAAGAACTCTGTAGACTATAGCTGAGTGTTAATAAGGTTCTAGTACACCAGTGTTTTCCTCTTGGCTTAAAATGTATTCCAATGGTAGCATGCAGTTATTCAATAGCGACTAAATTGCAAGCATTGATGTTCAGGTGGGTCTGGAAATGAGAGTTGGCTGGGGTGCCTTAGCTAATGAGGATTCTTGCTCCTATACGGGTGCCCCTGGTTGGATATTGTTCATTTTAGCCGGAGAACAAATTTCTAGAGCTGTGAAGGCGGGGAAGGGTCATTTCAGGAGTCCATAATATCTAGCTGGTGGAGCTCTGTAGTTGGAAGCTTGGCAGGTGATCATCTGCCTTCTTCCATTAGCAAGCATGCTACAACAAAAGGAAATATTGCTGTGAGCTCCAGAAATTAAGCAGTCTTATTTGGCTAATTCCTTCAAGCCCTCCCCCAGTAATGAGTAGGAAAACAAACATGTCTGTGCAGTAGTAGGAATCCTGCTTATCATTGTACAGGGTAAAAACAAACAAACAAAAAATTAGACCTATGACGCCTCCACAGACTTGGGCCCGAAGCTGCTCAGTAGTTGGAATTGCAGTTGACTCAGCGGTAGTTCTGTGCCCTCAATGTCTGCAGAATCAGATCAATATAATAATTGGTCTATTATCTGTATAGCCAGATACCAAGGCGATGCATGTGGTAAAACACAGACGAACAGAGAGAGAGAGAGAATGAGTCGTTTCTGAGTAACAACAGACATAGAGATCAAATTAAACTTGATACCCAGTCACTGGCTAGATAACCCTAGGGTATTCTTTAAAAAACACAATTGGACTGTAGTTCATACTTTTGCCTAGGCACTGTGTTTTATTGATTTGAACTTTACTCATAAAAATATCCACAGGGCTTTAGGACCTTAGTGGGGAAAGGATCTTTAACTTGTTAGCTTCTCCAGACTGAGCTGGGGGAAATGTACTGGCAGATACGATTTGAAATTGCTTTCAGAAGGTGACAGTCACAAAAAATGTGCAATGTCTGATGTAACCTGTTGTGAGCTGCATAACTGTACCATGTATGGGAGGCAAAATAAATTCCCAGTGTTGCCCCATATGCCTGGCACAGCCTCCTTGAAATACCACCGCTGCAATGGAAAGGTTTTATTTGCAAGGTCACCAGCAGCAAAAGGATTTTTTTGGAGGGGATATAGAGGTGACTGTGCTGGAAGCCAGTTGCTGAAACACTGATTGGCAGAGTCTCAAAAGCCTGTGACATTTTTAATATCAGTTTATATTAACTGAACACTCAGATAGACCTGATCAGCCTGTAAAAGAGAGGGCCATCACTGTGACAGTGAAGTAGATGATAGCCGGGCTGTATTTGTGGTGGCTTAGGACAACTAACAAGGATTTGATTATTGAAATTATGTATTTGTAATTTAACATTTTTCATAGATTCATGGATTTTAAGGCCACAAGAGACCATCTAGAACGACTTCCTATATGTCACATGCCATTTAATTTCACCCCTATACTGAGCCCAGTAACTTTTGTTTGGCTAAAACATATCTCCCAGAAAGGCATCCAGTCTCTATCTGAAGACATTTTTACTTTAGGTTGTGTGTGAAGAGTTTTGGTTTAATGTACATCCATTTGCAGTATCATCCCTCCATAATGAATGGTGAAGCTACTTTCCCATTGTACTCCCAATTTTCACAGTCCCTTAACATCACCAAGGGCCTGGTGTAAAACCCATTGAAATTAATGAGAATCTGGGCTTTGGATCAGGCCCTTTGCTGGTGAAGCCACAAAGTCAATATTTCTTCCTGAGGAGCATGCTGTGATTAAAATTTAGAAATGCTGATGCATGGGGAATGTTGTCTGGAAAACAAACACTGTCTCATTTTGTCGTCTGGCTCTTCTTAAGATCTTACAGGCTCTTGGAAAGTCATACCATCCTGGCTGTTTCCGCTGCGTGGTCTGTAATGAATGTCTGGACGGAGTCCCCTTCACTGTAGATGTGGAGAACAATATTTACTGTGTCAAAGACTATCACACGTAAGAACACAGATGCATTGACTGCTTTTGAAAAGTTGTTCATATTGAATCATCTTTGCAATAGACACTGATTTCAATGGGAGTTAGGAGCCTAAATACTTTTAAAACTCTGGCCTGGAATCTTGCTCCTATTTGCCCCAGGCCCCTTTACTCCACTCTGACAGCATAAAGAGTCACTTACATTTACATCCATTTAAAGGCTACTTTATACTGCCAGAGCGGTAAAGAAGAATCAGGCCTTACACACGAATTCTCTCCTGAGGGGCTGTTGAGGTTTCTCATGAACTCGTAGGAGTATGTGTTTATGTGCACGCTGGTAAATCCTCTGTTCCTGTCAGAGCCTAGCTCTATTAATCATGGGTAGTAATGGAATATAATGGCCCATAATATTCCAGTTAAGGATAGAATTGTGTGTCATCCTGATGACAACTCTTTGAATTGTGCTGAGGCTCAGTAACCACTCTGGGACTCCCTTCTGTCAAAGAGAATGTGAAGGCTCTTAGGTGCTGTCACCGCTATATCACAACCCATGATATGCCCAGTCCTGCAATGGGATCTGCTAATGCAGGCCATTGTGCCCAAGAGGAATCACACTGAAGTCAACAGGATTCCAGATCCACTCCAATCCATCCCAGCACAGGAGTGGAGTGAATATTAGCACAACTGCTCTATAGCACAGTTGTAGGTGAGAATGCTTGACCAGTTCAGTGTGAGCTGATTTTCCACCTTCACCCCCAACAACCACTTGTAGCCAACACCTTTTCTTGAAGTCCCTACCGCTGCTTCTGAACACAGGTTATTAGAGCTGTAACCACATAGGAAAGCTGTTCAAGCCCTGTGATGGACAAAGTCCTAGAATGATCTTCGCCATGCAGTCCCTCTGCCTCACTGGTTCCCAACTTTTTCCATACTGAGAGCCCCTGGATCTCCCCCTCCAGTTACCTGGGACCCACCCCTCTCCCATACAGCAGTATGAGGAGGACAGGATGGTCGTGCTACCCTGATACCTGTTGGGTCACAATCCCCAAGTCAAGAAACACTTCTCTCTCTATACAGGTTCATTGAGGAAATGTGTATGACATTTATTAATAATTATAATTAATGGAGATATCCTACCGTGTTTCCCAGAAAGTAAGACATCCCCCGAAAATAAGACCTACTTCCAGTTTTGCCTCTTGCTGTAATATAAGGCATCCCCCGAAAATAAGACCTCCCGGATAATAAGGCCACCCCGGAATATAAGGCCCCGAAGCTCCAGGAAAAATAAGACCTCCCCTGAAAATAAGACCTAGCGCATCTTTGGGAGCAAAAATTAATTTAAGACACTGTCTTATTTTTGGGGAAACAGGGTATCTCCTAGAACTGGAAGGGACCTTGAAAGGTCATCAAGTCCAGCCCCCTGCCTTCACTAGCAGGACCAAGTACTGATTTTGCCCCAGATCCCTAAGTGGCCCCCTCAAGGATTGAACTCACAACCCTGGGTTTAGCAGGCCAACGCTCAAACCACTGAGCTATCCCTCCCCCCAATAAGAGCATTGGATACAATAGTCAATGGAGGAGGGGAAAAGGTACCTGTAGAACCACGTGTGGATGGTTGGGAGATCTGACATAGAAAGAGCAGCAAGAGGTAGAGATAGGCTTGAATCAGCCCTGTCTCCAGATCGAAACTTTCACGGAGTTTGAATTCCTGATCTGGATCCATATTTTGCAGTTAAAGCCCATCTCTAAAGAGAAGCTATGGTTGAAATGCTCTCGGGATTCTAAATCTTTTAAATCTAATGTGAACATTTTCTCTTCTTGAATCTTAGTGTTTTTGCACCAAAATGCGCTTCCTGTAACCAGCCAATTCTACCAGCACAGGTATGAAGGGATTGTGTGTGTGTGTGTGTGTGTGTGTGTGTGTGTGTGTGTGTGTGTGATTCGTTAGATACTGTGGTTGTTTGCATATGGACATTTTTCAAAGGTCTGCTCAAACACAGTAAGAAATAGACACCTTGGCTATTCAAGACCCTTCCCCCAGCCCCAGAATGAACTGCATATCTAATACAAAATTAAACACAACTCAGCAATAATAGGATTCTTATACAACTCCAAGAGTCATAAGAATCAAAGTACTTACCAATTATGCACCAAAGCACTTTGTATCTTTAGGGTGCTTCAGGGGTATTAATTAATGTTGCTGTACATCTGATTTAATTCAAAGCCCTGGCTAGAGAACTGAGAACAGAACTTTTATTTTTAGAATCTCTCAACTTCCCATTCATTCAAGAAGTACACTTTGATTGCTAAATCGGATGTTAGCTGTTAAGATACCCAGGCTCCAAACAGGGGATGATGGTAACATTTGCCCTGTTCAAAGAGCACATAGCTTCAGCCACGTCACAGTGCCATGGATGAAAGTGCTGCAGAAAGTTGGCTACGATGTTTGAGGCAGAGCTGGGGAACCGTGTATTCGAGATGGATCTGAAGCAAAACGCTGGTTCCAAACCCCACCAAGCTTTGGGCCCATCTCTGTCTGGTGAATTGAAACCCGAACTCCAGAACCAAAGCTACTCAACCTTTCGAGGAAGACAGGGCTTTGGAGCTTGTACAAGCAGCACTAATAGGGCCTGAACGTTAAACTGATTTTCAGGACAGATTATCATCACTGTTCATGGTGATAGAGATCACAGACCTTGTGTTAGTTTCAAACTGCTGCACAGAGCAGTGAGGATGCAAATTAACTGTAGGAAAGATGTCTTATCAAACCATGCAAAGTGAGGAGTTATGGGATTTGACTTTTTATTTTCAGTAAGCCCACTAGTATGTGCTGTTTACTTAATAAGGGCTTACTTTTCCAAAGTTACACATACACAGCTCAAGTGATTTGTTATTGGTCTCCCTGCCAGTAATTACAATAATGATACCAGAACTATCTGGCATGTATCTTGGGGGCCCAGTCCTGCAAGCTACCTCCCAGGAAGTGCTGGGTTCCCCCAACTCCTTGGAAATCAATGAAAATTGGGGGTGCTCAGCACATTGCAACAGTAGCTCCCTGCAAGCAGCTGGTGTTTCAAACCCATCTTGTGTATGAATTGTATAGGGGCCTTATTGGACCACCCTTACCCATATTGAGTAGCATCTTACTCTGTGAATAGTCCTATTGATTGCAAGAGGGTACCATGCAACATGAAAAGAGGTGGCAGAATCAAGCCCATAACAGCAGGACTGAACTGAGCAAAGCCAAAGTTCAGATTTATTTAAATTGTCTTTGACCAAATGGTTGAATACTTTGGAATTTGATCCCTACTTATGTGTTTATCTTAGCTGGAAGTGGCACTTTGGCACAGAACAACATTTGTACATGAAGAGAGGATCTGTTCACCCACATACCTTCTTATTCTCCTGTCTGCATGTGACACTAATGCATACTCCGCTGGTAGTGACATGAAAATGGCATAGAACCAGCAGCACTCGTATCATCCAAGAGGCAGTGACTGGTCAGATCGAGGTTATAGTCCAGGGCCTGACCATTCTCCCCTCTACACACACAGGCTTCCTGGTGCACATTCCATGTTTCCAGACTAATAGTACGCATTGTTCAGGCCACATCATGTGCACCTCATAAGCCATTGAGCCTGTGTCTGCCATGCAAAAGGGGACTGTGACATGCCACATTTCTGCTCCTCCTCCAATGCACATCAGGTATATAAGCCACAATCTTGCCCATACTGCTTCAGTGAGGTGCCTGCATCTCTCATACTTGAAATGCTTCTAAAGAGGAACCTGCGATAGCATGCCCTGATTACACATGTTCTCTTTATTCTCTTCTACTTCCCTGCATTTTGCATATTACAGAGTAACCCTTCCCATAAAAGCTTGGCCCATTCTACCTCATCCTCTGACTTAGTTGGCAGTTAACAAGACTTGCAGCAAACCTCCTCCAAGCACATGATACGCTGTTTCCCAAGGAGGACGTATGTGTTACTTCAAGTCTGGCAGGTCAGGTAATGACTTGCCTGCCGCTCCTCTCAGATAGAGCATCAGATGTGACGCAGGCTTTAAGCACACCTGGAATTAGAAACAATTCAAGGCAAAATTTTAAAGAAGCTTCATTTTCAGTGGCTCAGAAAAGGAGTCGGTGAAATTACCTGTGACGTATGTGCTGCTTTACAGGGTCTGGGTTGGCACATATCTTCATACATGCACTAATGCATGTGTACCCACGGGCCAGGGTATTGCCTATGGACATAGCTAATAGTTGTGCTATCTGACTATGCAAATTTCAAGCTGGTGGTGCACATATGATAGTGTGTGTGTGTGTGTGTGAGAGAGAGAGAGAGAGAGAGAGAGAGAGAACTCTTGGTGGAAAGTCAAGCCCAAAGTGGCTGCAAAGAACAAACAGCTTAATAAATAGTCGTTTCTGGTTGGTAATTTATTCCAAATCCTGGGTTCCCTTTGAAAATGGCTCTTTTTCAAGGAGTCCTAGGAACTTGTGAACCATGGGCCAAATTCTGATCTTTGAATAGACATGGATAGTTGCCAATGACTTCAAAGGGAGCTGCGCAGGTGCAGCTGGGGTCTAAACAGGGGGCTCTTAGAGATCCAGGATATCCACCCTGCCAGAATAATAGTATGGTACAAACAGTAAGCAGCAGGTAGAAAATTGACAAAATGCCACCTACATTTCTGGTCTGATTTTTCTCTCTATTTTCCAAACCAGGGCTCCGAGGAGACCATTCGAGTGGTGTCAATGGACAGAGATTACCACGTGGAATGTTATCACTGCGAGGTAAGCTTGCAGCATCTCTGCTACTGAGTTGGATCAAGGCAAGATCTGGCCTTTAGGAGCAGAAGATGCCGGAGTGTAGCAGTGAATAAGTGGCTGGGCTTTACATGGTGATGTGGTCCATAGTGAGTAGTTCCAGCCAGCTGTCTGCTGGCATGGTCTGTCTGTCTTGGCACTAAGAGCAAAGAGGCAGAAGTGGGATGAAGACAAGAGCTCTGCAGAGGAGTTTGTTAGAGACAGTTTTTCAAGTGAGGGAGGTGGGTGGGGGAGAGGAAAGCTAAGCTGGGGATCCTGAAAGTCAATGAGTCAGTCCACCCCAGCTGTCTCTTTCAGATGGGCAAGCCATCCATTTCTGTTAATGTTTTAAGAAAATAATTTTTTTAATCAATCATAGGAAATCTCAATATCTAAGAGATCTCAGCGATTTTCCCATCTAATGCGTTGTGTGGATTCACCTGCGATAAGATGGCAGCTCTCTCTCTGCCCCCCCAACGTTATATTAGAATGTCCCACTGAGGATTTATTTTCAGTTCAGTTTCATTATTCAGTTCACCATTCTCTCTCTCCAGTTTAAAGCAAATCAGCCTCCCTGCTTCCATCCAGGATGGCTAACTCCATTATGTGCCTAGATAGAGTAGTTAGACATCTGCCTGACGTGGGCATATGGAACATATGTGGGTGTGGTGTTCTGTCCCATCTAGTGGCACCGAGACCAAGAGAGAGATATGAATGAGTCTGTTCTACAGCTCGAGCTAAGAGCTGTATGGCTTTTAGCTCATGCACTAAGCTCCAGAGGTCCCAGGTTCAATCCTGCTTGCCAACAACCGGGGTGTCTTGGTGTTACACATACACAAATATTGAACAGGAAGAGCTGTGGGCTGTTTTACTGGACTGGGCTCGGGTTCCTTTGAAAATGGGGGCATTAAAATAGTGTATTTCAGCTGTCAAGGTTTCCAAAAGTGACTTGATAATTTTGGAGTCATTCATTTTTGGGTACCAGGTTGAGAGACCTTAAAGGTGCTTGGCTTCCAGAAGTGCTAAGCACCTGCTCCTGAAAACCCTTTCAGAGGTCACCCCTTGGGCACCCAAACTCACTAGTCCCTTTGGAAAGCCGCCTAACTCAGCAGGAATTAAATGTTCATTCAAGAGAAGTGACATGTAAAAGGAATGTTCATCTTGTCTGTGTTGCAAACCAAACAGCAGTTTGTAAATCAGTAGGGCCCCATTTAAAACTGAAATTCATTAAGAGGACAGCCTTTTTTAGGGCAACATTGTATGTTTGTGCAGCAAGATGGGAGGAAAAAGAAGAGGTCGGGGGTTAGGCACGTTATTAGCATTTGGCATTTCTTTAGTGAATCCCAAGTCATTAAAGCTCTAAACAAGGGACTGAACTAACAGAGCATTGCCGATGGGTAGCAGGCCTGCTGGCATGACCGCAATCCGATACAGTGTTTGGCTAGCAATTAACAGGCCTGAGCCCAGACTCTTATGTCTCACTCATGGTTTATTTCATTCTCAGACCCCCATCAAATCTGCCGTTCTGTCCACTTTTATGAGCCTGCTATCTAGTCTGTCATGATTCTAATTGAAGCTCTGAGGCTGATGGTCTAAAAATAATTGGGCATTCGGAGTTTGCATTGTTTACCTACACTGTGGGGAACATTTGTCAATATAGTGGAGTCTACAGGAAGACGAAAGACCTGCCATATTCCAGCTACTGTGATTTCTTTACAGGGAAGCGTAATACATTTTAAAAAGGGCACTATGGTGGAACTGTTTGAAAATTTCCTACCTAATTAAATGGGAAAGAATTTGTGACATTCATTTATAAACTGTGATGGAAGCTAAGAAGTCATAAAATCTCAAGTTCCTTCCTGTTACCTCTGTATTTCGTCACTTAATTTAATCAATGTCTGGAAAAAAAAAAAAAAACCAACAAGATTTCTGACAAATGATCTTTTACCTTTACCGAAATGTTCTCTTATATTCCTGAAATCTTTTAAGTTAAGGGATATAAAGTTATTAAGTAAATATATATTATTGAATTATCTGAATAATAAAAGGTCCCTAAACTTTTATAAAATGCTCCTGCATTGCCTGAAAGCACATTAATACCTTATTCTTTTTTATACTTTCACGGTAGAAATAGGACAAGATTTGAGCATTTTAATGTAAGCTATGGAAGTTAACAGATCACATTTCAAATATGATTAATTAAACTTTGCCTCATCTTTGATATTAAAAAAATAGGGTGAGGAGCCTGAAAATAATCTAGTTGCACATATTGCTCAACTTCTTCGTCAGGATTACCTAGAAGCCAGAATTTCTATGTACTCCCTACCCTCTTTCCAAATCCTGGAATCCAAATGTAAAACCTCCATGATTTGCCTGACCTCAACTGGCATGGATAAGTAACCAAGAGGCTGCTCTGAACTCAAGCACTTCCCTGCTGCAACACACATAGTTGTCACCAAGGAGGATTCCTATTTTGCTTGGGTTATTTTCTTTTTACCTCTGTCACTCTTCTCTTGTCTGAACTCAGCCACTGTTGGCTGAAATTATTTGCCATTCTATGGAGGTACACCTCTACCTCGATATAACGCTGTCCTTGGGAGTCAAAAAAGCTTACCGCATTATAGGTGAAACCACGTTATATTGAACTTGCTTTGATCCACCGGAGTGCGCAGCCCAGCCCCCCCAGAGCACTGCTTTACCGCGTTATTTCCGAATTCGTGTTATATCGGGTCACGTTATATTGAGGTAGAGGTGTATTACATAAATAAGACCAAGACTTCCACCCCACCCCCAGATTTTGTACGAGTCAGTTAGAATTTCAGGGGGGAAAGTTGCCTGCTTTTAAAATATGTCAGCTTTACTTCATCTAATCTAAGTTTAATCTGAGAAACGTACTGTAGAAAGGGAAGAGACCTATTTAGTGAGAGGCCTGAACTGGAACATGAGGCCTGACACCCATTGAACTTTTCAGCTTGCCTCGTTATCTGTAAGATGTACCCCAACCAGAACACCAATCTTAGGAAGTCCGTTCTGCATCACAATCCAAAATTCAAATAGCTTCTCTCTCATCCAAATGATGGTCTCTCTTTACTCAGCTCTTCTCTGGTTCTCCAACTATCTCTGCTCTTCCTCATTCCAAGTCCAACATCATTCAGCTTGTCTGACCGGCTCCACATTTAAGAGGTCAACGTGTGCTACATGTTGATTAGTCTGATCTTTGTCATGGCTAGATCAATGAGGTGGACTGACGAAAATAAATGCAGGTATCAACCAGAGAAGATATGCCACAAAATTACATAAATTTCACGTTCCCTTAGATTTCAGTGACTCGCTCTTAATTTAATACATTATAGTCAATGTCCATCTACCAAATAGTTCTGAGATTGCTGCAGTTAACATGAAAGAGAGAACAAGAGACACCTTAGAGGCTTCAAAGTCTGAATGATGTTTTATTGAAATGACGTAATCAGTCACTAGCTAACTTGTGGATGTGTGTTTGTTTCTCTTAGGACTGCGGTCTCCAGCTCAACGATGAAGAAGGCCATCGTTGCTATCCTTTAGAGGGCCACCTACTCTGTCATGGCTGTCATATTAGGCGCCTCAATATCAAAGTGCCACCACATCCACCTCCAAGCTACCCAATGCATGTTACAGAACTCTGAAAGACACTTTCTATAGCAATGAATCGTTAGAGAGAAGATGGAAGAACTAAAAATGACTTTCCAGTTTTTAAAGATGAAATTCCTCTAATAACCCTCTAAACCAGCTATTTATTTTTTTTAAATCATATGTCAGAGGGCCTCTATGATCATGTCCATGTTTCCATTTACCTTCTGCATTTTCACTGAGACACCACTTACTTAAAAAAAAAAAAAAAAAAAAAATGATGCACCACTGAACTAACTGTGTAAGCAGCAGCATTTCCCAGTACAGTGGTACGAAAGGCTCTGTTCTACACTTCTTGTTTGCTTCATTCCAGTGGGAGTTTTGCCTGAGTAAGAAGTGTAGAATTAATCCCCCCTAAGTTAGCAACCTACATATCACAACAAGCGTGATAAGATAAATACTAGCATTTTAGCTAGTCCCATTGCATCCTAGTCTTAGAGAATAAACAGTCTCACATTTCTGGAATACTTAGATTCCCAGCAGTAGTTCATAGGAAGCAAAGTAAATATATTTTTAGTAACAAAAATCTTCAACCATGGGTTAATTGGTGGTATTCACACCTAGGAAAGGCTTCGGGCCAGTGTCTTTTCCATCCTATTTGCTGTCACAGTGATCCAACAGAGTATTTAGCCTGCTGCAGAAACATGGCAGGTGTCTCCTATAGGAAGCACATTACAGAAGAATGTGTCCATTCGCAAAGTTAAGATTCTCTCATAAAGGGTTATTGCATATGAAGAAAATTCTGGCTCTCCATAATAACTTGCCACTTACATGCTTGGTTTTTTGTAGCGGCACGAGACCAACTGCAGCTTTAAAAGCATTTGTCATGTTCTTCTGGTGAATTGGCACTTACTAAGCAATCCATTTTTTAAACCTGTTTTTGTTCCTAGGTTTAGCAGCCCTTTTGGCTCTGCAAGGAGACACTTCTATGTCTCAGTCCTACTTGTTTTATACAAGACTTCATTTGTTACAAACTGCTTTGCAATTTTTTGTCGTTACATTTTAAAAATTGGCAGCAGTTCTGTCATCTTTTCAGTTTGATGTGTTCTTTTCCAGATGTCATTGTGAATGATTACAGTGATCATCTTCATTTGAAAACCAAGCATGATTTAGCAGAAATAATAATTTAGAGTTTCAGACAATTGAAACAGAAATTGGTATTTTATAACAAGTATTAGATGTACATCGAATGTACACACTTTCATCTTTTGCATAAGCTTTTACAGGAACCTCAGAACTCTGGGGTAATATATATCTTCCATATAGGAAGTTAGATGAATCTTTTTTTAATGTTTGTTTTCTACTGTGCGTTGATGATTTACATGCAATCACACATCTGTATGTTTAAATAACAATTCCATGTAGTCTCATGAGAATTGATCTAGGCTTTCCTGAAATTCTGTTATAGTTTGAAATATGGCCATCACGCCCTTCCTCAGATATATTTAAATGACAAAATTCTTTTACTGTGAAGTAGGTGGAAATATCAGGCAAGATTCTCAACACGTGTAAATTGAAAGACCTGCAGTGACTTCAAGGAAGTTATGCAGATTGACACCACCTAAGAATCTGTCCCATCAGTTTTAGGATTGTCACATGTTAAGTTTCATCAAACTAATTAAGGAAATAGCTATTTGGCAACACCATTGAAGTGTAGTATATAAAGACTCCATTGATGCAATAAGGCAATTCAGGATATGGTTGGAAAGCACAAGGAGCAACCAATGGGCTCTGATTCCTGAATGGAATAATTAACTCATGAGATTCTCACTCCCTTTATAGAGCTTTTTGATATTCCAAAATATCTTTATGGTAAAAAAAAATACATTCATTGATGATGGGAAGAGATGAATGCAACAGTTCAGAAACTGCTGCTGAATTGTCTGGTTGGCAAAGATTAATCTGCCCTACTGGATGATCGTCAGTAAGTCCAATGCGCCTTTAACCAGTCATTTTATAATTAATAGCTGGCTTAGTTAATGTGAAAGCCATGTTTTGGAGCACTGCTAATGCTACAAATAACCTCCTACAGTGGCAGTAAAAATTAACCTTCTCACAAATCTGACTTTATCGAAGTAACTCGAGGAATTTGCCTAGTAATGAAAGTATCAAATTGAGGGTGTCAAAGCTTAAAGGTAAATATTTTGTATTAGTCACAGTATAATACTTTTCCATTTCACAAAACAGCTTTGGGCTTCAAGGCATTGTATTAGCATGCGTTATTGTTAAAACTATATGTATAAAAACCCCACATTAAGAAAAAAATATTAAAACATACAGAAGATTTGGGTCTGTTCACATGAGCAAGCCAACCCAGAACAGTGCTTTCTACTGAAAAGTGCATTCGCTCCAGGTGACTGGGAGCTAGAACTTCATAGAACCATAGAAAACAGAGATGAGAGACCAAACTAGGTCATTTAGACCATCCCTCTGCCAGTGTATTAACTAGTGCTAGGGCTATTAAGTTTGTAAGTTTTCACTCCTACATAGCTTTTCAGTGGACAGCACTATCTAACATGTACATACAATTCTTCTTCGAAAACTATCAGACTTTAGAACAGAATAATACTGAATTTCACATTTTAATTTTTCAGTTCTTTCTAGTAGTTCTACTCAGTTCCAATATGTGTTAAGTATCTTCATGGGAAAATGTTGAAAAATTATGTTTCAATATAGAAAGAGCAGTTTGTTTAAAACCAGAAAGCAGCAGTTGTTGTTCCAGTATTTCCTATAGACAGGGGCATTCTATTAAAACACCATAAATTACAACTGGCTTTTAGAGAGATGAGGTGAGGGAGGTAATATTGTTTATTGGACCAACTTTTGGTGGTGAAAGAGACAAGCTTTCAAGCTACACAAAGCTCTTCAGGTCAGCTGACTTTTACATCATTAATATAAGAGCTGGACCATAGTTGGTATAATTCACCTATTATTATTATTATTCTTAAGGAAGAATAAGGGGAAAGCTAGAAGCAAATCTAAAGTGACATGCTGTACAATTTAGTATTAATGACAGTTCCTATGCATTTTACCTCCTGTCTGGGGAATTGTATAAATGAAAGCATCTAATGCTTTGCTTAAGGAGTATTCTTATGTCAGTCAGTTCAACACAGATGTAAACTTCCCAGTATTCATTTTATAACATGATTATTTATTGGAAACCACCTCTGTGTACTGTACTTTCAGAATATTTCCATAAAGTTTCAGCATTTTACAACTTGTTCTCATTTGCATCATGAGAACTCAGGAATAAACCTTTCATATTTCATTTTTTGTGGAAGATTTCTACAGTGTCCCAAAAGGATGTGGCCATTTTAGGAGATTCACAGAGTCCCTCGTGCACTGGAAGACAAGTTCCAAAGAAATGACCAAAATTATGATAATTTTGGCAGGGGGGGGGGGATCTCAGATATTTGAGCTTTCAAAAAGGGTTTTTTGTATATTTTGTAAAGTGGGGCTTCAAAAGTAAAGTATGGATGGAGGAGTTCTTTAAGACAAGAAATTCCAGAACAGTTAAGTAAACCAAAGCTCTAAAGGAGGCACACAAAAGCTGCTTTCTTGTGTTTCAAGAAAAGTTTAAAAGTTTGTGATTCATCATGCAACTAATGCCATAACTAGAATATATAATTTGACTTAAATTAAGTTTTAAATTAAGTTGAGAAATATTTTCATTTTCTTTAAAAGAATATAGTTTCTTCCAAGAACTTGGACCAACGTTGATTTTTATTTTGTAGGAAATATATAAATGCCCTGTTTGTATATCATGTAACTAGTTTACATGCTGCAAATATACATTAGTTTAACTATTTTTGTATATATCCTTGTAAAACTTCTAAATGTGCTTCTTTGTCTTTTAGTCCCTAGAATGACTTGTGGTTTTTATGTTTCAGTGTTTGATTCCCTTGATTGTTGAAGAAAAAAGATTGGGAAATGTAGATTTATTTATCTAAAGAAGAAGCTACTTGCTATCATCCTAAGTTATTTAATATTAAAAGTCAGAAGTTTCATTTAACCTTAGATGTTATAATCTGCTTTTTTCAATAAAGACATTTTGTAGTTAACTTTGATTTTGTAATGTGTTGCCTGTGAGTAAAGAGTTTATTTTGATTTGTTTGCCAGTAAAAACATTTTAAGAGATCCTTATGCTGCTTACAGAAATGCCAACTGATATTAACTGATTACAGCTGTATTCATGAAAGTGTTTGGTTCTTTAGTGCAAATGTAAATAATTAAGGTCTAAAATACGCCCATAGCTAACATTTTGCAGCTCCACTTAGAAAAGAATTTAGCACTTTGGCAATTTGTAATTAAACCTTACAAATTTGGCTATTTCATATTTGTAGCACTCAGTTTAGATAAACATGTCCTTCTCAGGGCACCTATTGTTTCGTAATGCGCACACTTTCCTTCAGAGAGGCACTGGCTTAGGCGATAATCCTGCAAAGGCTAAGCAGGTTTGGATAGGTCTCTGTATTTCCTTACCCAGTTACTTTGCTTTATAGCAGGGGTCGGCAACGTTTGGCATGAGGCTCGCCAGGGTAAGCACCCTAGCGGGCCGGGCCAGTTTATTTACCTGCTGACGTGGCAGGTTCGGCCGATCGCGGCCCCCACTGGCTGCGGTTCGCCGTCCCGGGCCAATGGGGGCGGCGGGAAGCCGTGGCCAGCACATCCCTCGCCTGCGCCGCTTCCCGCCGCCCCCATTAGCCCGGGACGGCGAACCGCAGCCAGTGGGGGCCGCGATCGGCCGAAC